GTTCATTTTGAGAGCAATAAAACCAGTCATTTCCTATACGATTCATTGTTTATAGAACGGTTTTATCATTACATTGTTTATAGAACGGCTTATCATTATCATTATATGTTAATAAATATATTCATAAAGCAATAAAAATTTCTCGACTAAATCACTTAAACGCATAAAATAACGCATTATTGTTGAATTGCTGAATAAAAAATATTTTTTCTTTTCTTAAACCAATAACCATTTTTGGTTTCAAAATAATTTTACGTTGATTAATTGATCGAAAAATTCAAAAAGCTATTTGGTATATCTGAAATGCCTATGGTCGAATAACTATCAGTGATAAAAAAAAAAGATAACTAAGGCAATAGAGATGGATAAGTATGAAAAATTATTGTTTCATAAATTCTATAAAATTAAAAATTTTAAAAATTAAGAATAAGAATAAAAATAATGGACATAATTGTTAATTTTAGAATTATTGGCTACTACTTTTGGTTTTGCCAGCGCTACTCGTTGATAAGATGAGATGAGAAAGGGTCATAGGAAGATAATTGATGAGCCCACATAGCTACCCACATGACCCAAATTTATTCTTGCTACAACTAGCGATTAACTTTGATTCTTGAAATGAGACTCTAAGCAATAGTCACAGCCTAACTGCAATCTCCTTGGCAATTTTTTTGCAGTTTCTTTTCCTCTTAGAACAAAGTCTATTTCGATTAGAACAACATAATCACCATATGACAAGTGAGATGAGTGGCATTAAATTTGTTCACTCGCATTTAATGCAAGTTTTCTGATAATGCTTATCATTTCTAGTTTGGTTAGCTCCACTGACTATTTTCTAGTTTCTAGTTTGCTTAGGTTCACTTAGAATTCTCACTTAAAAGCGCAGGTGGCTCAATATTATATCAAATATAAATATTGGCAAAAAACATATTCAGTTAAAATTTCGAATTATTATTTTATGACTCCATCCATCTTCGCTCAAATACACCATTGATAAAATTATCAAATCGCTTACACTAGTTGAACAATCCAGTAAAGATGCCAGCTGTTGGGGAATGGAAAAAGTGAATTATTGAGGAAAAGGTATTTATAAAATCTTAAAAGGCAAAGGATATTGAACAAGAAAATTTCAGAATTTCAATTTAATTTAATATACGAAATCACCGTGCAACAATTCGAAATGATTTCAAAATTTAATCTGCAGTAAATTTCACTGAAATATTCGCTAAGTAGCAGTCAAATAATAATGATAAGCAACTGTCCGAACCTTTTATTTGATAATCGTTAGTAATGATAAATTAATCAACTTCGAAGTGTTGAAGAGGAATTTTTTCGATCAGTTTCATTTGAACAAAATTGTCTACTGTATTGAAGAGAGCAATGGTACTCGTCCGGTGAGCGCCTTTATTATCAGAAATTATTTTATATAAGGATTAATCAATTTCCGATCAGTCGACCATGCGATATATTCGTTACTTTAGTTACTATTATCGTTATCATTGATAGGAATTTCTCCGAAGTTAATGATAGATTAATAATATCAGTTTAAAAAAAGTTACAAATTCATCTTTTGTAGGACAGATTTTATTTCCTTTTTTTTTTAAATATTTTTCAATTGTTATTTAATAGATTTGAATAAAACTTGTGAAATACTTTGGAAAATAATTCCTGCCTGATTCCTGCCTTCTCCCATATTCTTTTTTTCTTTTCTAAAACGTTCATTTTATGGAAATTAAGCAGTTTTTACACCCCACAAACCTAGTTCGTTTCAACTTTGAAAATAACTTCTCAATCAGAGATAATTTCATCAAAATTAGGCAATTTATATATTATAAAACTCCTTAAATAATGGGTAAGCTATGCCCTAATGAGAACAATGCTTTTTTAACTTTTCACCCCATTAACCCTTTAATTAGGCAGTTCGTGCGCTACAGAACTTGGTTCCTTACGTTGCAGACCTTACATAAAATTTCATTAAAATTTAACAAGTAAATTGTTTCGTACTACACTACAAAGATAATTTAATGACGAGAAATAAGGTGGAAATGCGAGTATCCCTTTTTTTAAAACATCCACTATTCCTGATTTGACCGGCAATTTCTGACTTTTAAAACTATAGAGTCCCTTAGAATGTCGGTAGCAATACTTCGGTTATGCTATTGCATTAAGTACTACACTCATGCAAATTAAACGATTTGTGCTCTTCCCACTTCTCTTTTAGGAAAATTGGAAACGAAACTAATATAAGAAATTAGTTGCCCTTATATGTTAAAATAGAACAGTAAAATTATTTCTAGTACAACTATTTACTATTGAAAAAAATAAATCTACAAAGAAATGAGCCCAGCTGAAAAAAACTGCAATAAAGAAGAGAGCAATTAGTGTCCAATAAAAAGGAAATTGGACAATTTCTGCTATCCTTGCTAAGAATGAAAAATTTTTGCGAGGAATTATTTGACAACTCGAAAGAACTTGGTTTACAGCACCACACAACCGTGCAGCTACGACAGCTATACTTATTTCATTTCAGATGATTTTTCCTGCAATTTTATTCACACTTTTTTGTTTCGTCAAAAATCTGTCGCTTCAATATATTTTCAATTCAGTAATTCTGAACTTGTGTTAAATTTTTAAATACTTCGATTATCACAGTTGATAACAAAAAATTCAGTGTAGTTTCATGATATCGTATTATATGTGGTCAAGGAGATTTTAGACTCAAGCACCATTTAATTCTCATTGAAGTGCTTGGGCATGGACTAAAAATCTAGAAGAACAGCTGGTCAAATTTCATTTATTTAATTATTTAGCCAAATTATCAAAGCAATTCGAAGTTTTACATTCTTTTTTATTTTTAATTTTTTCTTCAATGTGGAATTTTTAAAAAAATTATTTATTATTTATTAGATTTAAGCTTTAATTTTTAACGAATAAAAGAACCATTAAATATCAAAATATATGGTATTTGAGCCTAATAATGATGCATAAAAAAAAAAGCATCCATCCATCATATTGGTAATTTAGCACGGTACTCCAAATCACAAAACCCTGGTCCATAACTAGGCTGCACAGGATAACCGCGTGATACCATCCTACATTGCATTTCATAAAGTCTGTAAAACGTTAATCAATTATTCGACGGCACTCCAGAAACATATGTTATTTTAAAAATTACAAAATCTGGGCTTTGAAATTAGAAACCATTCTAAGCAGCTGATGCTTATAAGCATTTGGCTAGTGAGATTTAAGGCAACGAAAGAACTAGAGCGAAATTGGTTGATTTCGTTCTTCCGGAAGTGATAATGAATCTATATAGAATTGTCCTTTGAACTATCACCTTGGCCATGCGTCATTGGGAAACTTAGTCAAGTTTGGTGAGCTCCACAAGCGCTCTGCTACAGCCGAAGTTCGCGGCCATAAACGTGGAAACATATTTGTTTCATCGACCCATTCACCCCACAAAATTGCTGCACCACCCAAGACCAATGCTTTTTGCGTTTCGCTACCAGCAAATCCCTGTAAACATATTAAATAAAATTATTACCATATAGAATTAATCAGGTGATGCATGAGCCAATCAATTATCACGAATTACCACGAATCTCCTCCAATCTCCTAACAATAAAATAATAATAAAATTAAATTAGCCAAGATAAAAAAATTTAGCCTGTTATTTTAAGACTGAAATTTAAATGGATTCTTAATATTAGGAATGGGACAAACTATAAATGTTTGGTTAAATTCACGCTCTTGATGTCGTTAAAAATTAACTTGTGGATCACATTGATAGAACAAAACCCAATCGTTAAGACCATATGAGTAATCCATGTACCAACAAGATGATAGGATGGCAAACTTTCCTGCAGCTGTAACACGATACATATATTCCATCATTTCGTAATAGGAATTTCCTTGCCAAACATGAACAATTGAATCTGTTAATTGAGCTCCAGATTCGAATGCCTCCTTAAAATATCATTAAAAAATCCGAAATGCGAATTGGCGAAAATTTTTAACGTACTAGCAACCAGCGGAACCAGAAATGATAAGTTAACCGCTTATGACAAGGCACGACAATTTATATGTAGTAAAATCTATATTTTTTACCTGCCAATAAATGTATTTCTTCCCTCCGATACGATCCATCAACGTCCTCAACTTATTTAGGTACCATCCTTGTAATTGAAGGGAGGTGTTCAGCCCATGAAGCTAAAAATTAAATCACCACAAAGTGAACAACTCAAAGATATTTCTTTTTTTGAATCGGTTTGATTAAACCTTAAATCAGTCTCATTCTTTACTATTTGTTGGACAAAATATGGCATGCAAATATGGCTCACTTTCATGAAATCACTAATGTTTTTGTTGTTCTCCCAACATGGTTCAAACCAATAATTAGCTTCATCGCCACCAATGTGTATAAATTGGTCGGGGAAAACTTTGTAAACTTCCTGTAATTGTTTAAAATACTTTACGTTTACTGTATTGTTCGTTCATCCAACCCAAACTGCATTCAATTCAATTTATACAGCAGGCAATAAATTAATTTTCATATTAAATCTAACCAATCTCTGAAATTTTTTTTGATGGTTTTTGCTAGTAGCGACATTTGTCACGAAAGTGTAAGGCTAGCGTATCATTTCACCTGGAAAAGTGTTTCGAGAAAATCCCAAGTCTCATTGTTAGTTGGATCGACAATACCACCTTCGTATGAATCAGCAGATCCTTCTGCAAAGCATTTTGCCAAGACATTCGGGTAACCTTTGCCCCACGATCCAGCATGAGCTGGTGAATCGAACTCCGGAATAACTCTTACACCTCGTAAACGAGCATATGCTATAACATCCTGAATATTCTGTCATTAATTATATCATTAATTGTAGTATTGGTTCACTATAATATTTAATGCGCTTTGGCAAGTTCAACCTCAAAAATTTGCTCAAAAAGTTAAAGGCGACCGTAATTTCCTCGATTGTATATTTATGTTTATCGTCATATGCTCCGTGATCCAATTTGGGCAGAACTCTCGAGGAATATGGGCAAGATTCAGTGTCGGTCATGTGCCAGTGAAATACATTAAATTTATTTTGTGCCATTAAATCGATATTCCCCTTCAGGGCATTTACGGACAGAAAGTGTCTGAAAATATAAAATACACTCGCTCGCCTTTTCGTCAGCTTAAAGTAATCATTTACTGGAATTCACTACTCTTTCAGAAAAAAGCAAACCTAGCTGTGTCCAATAAAACACCGCGATGCGGAAATCGTGGAAAATCTTTGACGATCTCCGCCCGAATTTGATAGCCACTCGTTTTATTATAGTATACCATATGCGAGAATGATTCCAATCCTCGAAGAGCTCCCCAAACCTTTAAAATGCTTCGTAAAAATATGACTATTTAGTCCGACTTTATAAATAATCGAGATAATATAGGCCATGGATTCAATCTTTAAAATCCATCGACGATGGCTGTGCATTAGCAAAAGAGATAAGCATTAGCTTAATAAATGACTTATTTATAAAATAAAATCAAACTTCGTTGGCTTTTAGTACTGCTGTTTTTCGAGTTACATCAAGCTTGTAGCTTTCGTCCATTTTCAATGATGGAAAATCAATGGGACATATAATTTGGACAATGATGTATAAAGCCTCGAGCACGTTCTAAAAAATTCGTCGAAATGGAAGGAAATTTTAATTTGAATTTTTTTTGAATTTTTTGAAACTTCTGGATTTGATATTTGCTAGAATTGATCGTTGAAAACTTAGAAATTTCAACAAAAACGGAAATGCGAAAATTATGTTGTTCTGTTATTTTCTCGCCGACGGAATGCTCCGATTATTTGTGTTTATTTAACTATAATTTTAAAAAAATAAATAAAATTTACCTCTGTGGGATGTGAAAGTCTTTCATGTGCTATAGGAAAAAGTCTTTTTATATACCGATTGATAGCATCAGTGGTAATATCGCACTGATAATCAGATACTATCTTGAAACTTTCAGGATTTATCGACCAGACTTTTGAAGAAGTCTGGATCTCTTGAGGCAACGGCCAAATAGCGCCATATGTCCTTTTATAAGGATTATAAGGCCATTGTCCATGTACCACAACGATAAATAGTAGAACGAACGGAATGATAACGCCAGGCTTCATCGATGTGACCTTTGAAAGAGTCGGTTCTTTTGAGGAGTCGAAGGTCAATGCGAATAATATTTCTGAATTGTGGAAATAGTGGTCAATAAAAACTAAACTAAAAGCAATGTTACCAAAAAGAATCATTCGGTAGCAAAAAAAGACTCGAGAACGAAATATTAGTATAGTAGCGGTACATAAGCTAAAATTAAACCCAAGTTCTCATACTCTAATCGCTGTCAATTTCCTAATAAATGAAAAAAGTTTTAGCAATTCTTGTTCTCTTCTACAGTTATGAAAAGGAAGGTGCAGAATAGAGTAGTGGATAGTGGCTGAAGCCACCGTGTTAAGAGGGAAGGATTCCCAACATAGCATCAAAGCTGAGTGGTTTTGGCAATCTTTATCTATCTCTATCCCTCTATCACCAAACGATTCTTTGAATTTTCCTAATGATATAAATATTAAGTGGAGCTAATGCAATCTAATGTCGCAGGTATAAACCTGCACGAAAATCCGGGTGATGTTGGCGATTCACCTGTATTTCTATCGCCAAGGGACTCTCTGGAACATTATCCAATGCGACAAACCAGTGGAGCGAGTTTAATCAGTAATGGTGAGGATTCTTTAAAAAAATGCAACACAAAGTGGTGAGCACCAATAGCGCACTTTCTTATTTCTTTAAAAGAAGCGGAGTTGTTCATGCAAAATCGCTCATCTAACTGGCTTATGCGTAACGGTACGACCACTCCACTTTAGAAGGTCAGTGAATGCAATCATATTAGAAAATCAGCTCTTTACGTGCACTTTTTTATTACTCCTTATCTATACCAAAAAATAGCAATTATTATGGTTGTATTCATGCAGAAGTTATAGTTATACGTACACACGATATAACCATAATCCGTCGAATGACAGGGAAATTGTCCATATATTATTCAACGCAGTCAAATGTATCCTCTTAAAGCGAGTAGGACTCAAGCAAATGTGAGAAAATTTTAGAAAATTTAAAATTTTGAAGAGTTAGTCTCAAGTTTCGGAAAGAAATTGAGAAATATACAACACGACAAATGATCATCAAATTATTCATTACTATTTGGTGGAAATGAGATTTGTCATTCAAGAGTAGAATGCTGAACATCACGGGTTTCTTCCCAATTTTTTTATGGTAATCCGAATCTGATAGGAAGCTCTATGTCAACTATCTCTACTATAAATCCTACTCAATCACTACTTATCACTAACTAATTGGATAGATGGAGTTAGCCTGTTCCTCAGATTGTCGTCTTGAGCATCAACATGCAGTGTATGCTTGACAATATTTTAAAATTTTTTTATCAGATAAATCATCTAATCACCAGAAATTGACATTAAAAATCCAGGCTGTACTAGTGATCTACCTGCGCTTATATCGACAAGTGACAACAATCACTTACAAAACTTCACATTGCACTAATAGCCAACATACCAGAAATGACCAGCTTTTAACAATTAACTGATAACAATTGGATATCAGTCATAAGTGCAGCAGAGAGCATTGAGAAGTTCGATAAATATCACATCATTTGTTGGAAAGTTTCAAGCTGGAAATCATTAATAATGAACTGATCAATTAAAATAATAAAAAATTCTTTCCAATGGTTTTTTTCGACTTGGAAAAATTGAAATTAAATTGTTAAATCCACTGATAACTGATAATCGGAAAGAGATTAACAAAAAAACTTCATGTTATTGAAAAAGAAAATAAAATTTAATTTAATTTTAAATATCAAATTCTGTTTTAAAAAATTTGCATTTTATAAGTTTTATATTTATTTAAATAAAAAATTAAATTCATTAATTTTTTAATAACAAACGAATTTATAAATAAATAATGAATATTAATTTTACAGAAATAAAATTTTCATCCTCCTGTGGGCCATCATGACTCTCGACCTCAGGTCCTACCAGGTCCCTGGGAGACTGAGGGTTCTACATAATATCTTAGTTCTTCCTAATAGTGCGCTGTTCTAGAGATCATCTCTGATGCTGTTTCTGGAATATGCCGAAGCCACTCTTCTAGTTTAGAGGTTTATAAATTATGCCCACTTTAAGGTAAATTGTTATACTTGGATATTATAAAATTATATATTATAAATTTATATAAAAATCCACGCGTGAGTCATCGGAATAATTCAGATTTCTGAATGGAAGGTTCACTAGTGGAGGTACGTTCGAGACGACTTGAGCAGCACCTACTCGACTCCTGCATCTATACATTTGGCCAGGCACAAAATTATTTTTCAAAGTTGGAGCGTTTAATGAATCAGAAAGCATGTGGAATATCACTCACTAAAAAGCAAAATGAGGAATTATCATAGGTACCTGCTAAAAAATTGCGAATTATAGTAGATAAGTTAGGTGGCAATGACTCAACAAAAGCTTACGGCCTACAACCAAATATGATGAATTTTGAAATGAATGAAATTTTGAATTTCTGGTTGCAATAAAAGAAAAGAATAAAAAATATCATTTATTAAAGCATCAAAATCATGATTACAAACAGTGAGATAAGTCAGATTTCTTATCAGTAATAAGCTCAGTAATAAGTGATTAAGTGACAAACCATAGTTCATAAGTAAAAGCAAATTACAACTCATATTTTGCGAAAATTAAACCAAATTTATCATTTATAAAAACTTCGCCGGCAATATCGCTCCTTTTAGTTTGATTGACTTTTAAAAGCGAAATCTATTCGCCAGAGAATCGCATGAGAATAGAGGAGATAAATTGTTCGTTAACAATACGTGAAGTTCAGTTCGAATAATGACAGGTTTACTGCCCACAGGGAGAACCTCTGAACCTCTGATACTCGCTTGAACTCAATTAAAAAATCATTCAGCCATTTTTTTCCTTTCTTTTTCCAGCGAAAATTTTGAAAAATTTTTGCGAAACTTTTCGAACTGATTAGAAGAAAATTTTATCAAAATTTAATTCAAAAACTGATAATTTAATTGGCGATTTAATCAAATTGTATTTCGGTTATATTTTTTTAAATACCACAATTTTTTTGGAAAAAATTGGTAATTTTAAAAATACCAAATTTCACCATCATTTAGACTAATTTATTCATTTGTATATTTATTTGTATATTTATTTATCAGACGCAAAAATCAGATCGAAAGTGGCAATGAATATTTCATCTAATCGCTGAATGTGAATTTCATATCTTTAAATAATTTTAATATTTTTTTTCTTATTTTTTTTTTCGTTTTATTCGTAAATTTTAAAATTTTTAAAGAAATTTTGCATTTGTTATTTTTATAAGAAAGAATTTATGGCTAAAGAAGCAGAAAAAAATCTTTAAAATTGGAATTTTTTTTAAAATCAGCTGTGATTATTGATATATTGATATTATTATTATTGCAACTGTCTCAAATTAAATGGTATGGCAAATACCATAAGAAATAAAAAATTCACATTTAGTTTCATAAAAATATTTTTTGTCGCCAACGGAATTCGACTGTGCAAACTATAAAAATCGCTAAGGAATATTTTTTATGTTCAAAATAATTTTATAAAAAATTGAAATAAATTTTGCAAATAAATTTTGCTATGAGGAAGCGAATTGAATTTTTTTATTAAATTTATTATGATTAAAATTAAATTATTATATATTTTTGCAGATTCATCAGTTTTTGAATCTTAGAAACCTCATTATTTTACCTAAATTCAAACAGTGTAGGTTCCATTCCTTTCTTAATAGCCTATGGAACCTCTTCTGATTCTCAAAATACCAAATTTGAATGGTGAATGGATTTCACTCGACGATCCATCCTCACTAAATATTTCATATTTCAAATTTTATCAAATAAGAAATTTATATGTGACCAAGGATATGATAAATATGATAGGATAGCTGAATGATTATTGCATAGATTTATTGTCTCAAAAGTTCTGATCCAGAAGGACTAAAAAGCCATTTAAAAATCTGGATATTGCTTATAGCTTATATGTGATTCTATCTATAAGTGGTTCTCTGGCAAGAAATTTCTTACTGGAATAACAGCCAGTGGAACAGGTTTATAGTTTATAGAGATAACGATGATCGCTAAGCAAGCTCATTCTTACACAGTAGCAGTAATATTACATAATCTCATCGCTATAAGTATCCTTACCATTACTGGTTAAACTCGCTCCACTAGCTTGTCGCAATTGGGCATGCCAGGAATTTCTTGGTGATAGAAATACAGGTGAGTCGCCAGCATCACCCAGGTTTTTGTACAGATTTATTCCTGCGGGGAATCGAATATCAACATCAGTGCTCCAAACTGAGCAACAATCCACTGAGCAATGCTATCCCCACATGAACTCATTAAATCCATATAAATTATTTTTTTGCTTTTTCTTGCAGTACTTTTCATTTGTTATTCAGCTGGTTGTAGTAGACTGAGAACTCTAACAGAAAAATCTCTGAGGAACTGTACTGTAGCATGACCTACAACACCGCAGAGGACCTACTGTTGATGATAGATTTATTCTAGGACTCTTAACTCTTCAGGTCGAGCCTTTGCTTTCTCAAACATTAATAATTCTGGTATTTTATCGTTCGCCAAAGTCAATAACTTCAGAGGGAAATGAATTCGCGGCCAGTATTCTGCTCTATCGCTAAAAGATCCCTTTATCAATAATTTTGCAATATTAATATCTATCAATAATTTTTAATTCGTACCTCTTAAATTCTCATAAACTTTCAGCTTTTTCTTGTATCTGTAAATAAGAATCTCATTTGGTAATTAGCCAAAAGTTATAAGCGATCGATTTCAGCTGCCTTTTCTAAGCTTCAAAAGGTTTCCAATTGGCGTTGGAGAAATTTAAGAATGCTTGGGTGGCAAAAGAATTATGGGAAAAAGATTGGCCGAGGAGGTTTTATGATTCTTATAAATTTAAAAATTATAATCGTTATTAACGATCTTGCAATACTAATGATAACCTTATCATGACTATGTACTGTAGTTGTCGAACTATGTTGTGATTACCCAAGTTTCAGGTCATAACTGTAGTTCATAAATATTCATTCCCAATCGTTACGCTACTGAATTTGCAAAATTGTAATTCTGGGATGTTGATTAGTGAATATATGAATTGTTTTGGTTAAGAATCGCCATTAGTTGAATTCTCTGTAGCTGACAAAGTGAATTTCTGGCGAAATGGCCTCTTCCTTGTGGAATCACGCGAGTCAGAAAATACTGCTAGAACAAAGAAAATGAAAATGAAAATCTCATTATCTTTTAATAAATCTTTGAAAATATTTTCATGTTTTTGTATTTTCTTTTGTTCAATGCAATATATTTGAAACATTCTTGCAAAGATTTATTTTAAAATCGATACAAATTGGTCTGAAATATAGTGGAAATATCTTTTAAAAATCTATCACTTTCTATACTGGAAGTGTAATATGGTGTTCAATATCGCAAAATCCAGGCCCGAATCCAGGTTGTACAGAAAAACCGCGCGATACCATCCGACATTGCATTTCGTAAAGTCTGCAAATAATATTTCATTAAACAGCTGATTAATTATTCGACTATGCTTCAAAAAAAAATCGTATCGAAGTTCCCTGTGAAATATTCTCCCAGTAAAAAAATATTTTTTTTTTTCAACAACGATTACTACTTATATGTCATCGCTCAGTAATATAATGTCAATACTGGCGTGATATTAGGCAATTTTCTTGTCACCTTGGCCAGGAATTAATCGCAGAAGTGGTGAAATTTGAGGGACTCCACAAACGTTCGGCAACAGCTGATGCACGTGGCCACAAACGAGCGAATATATTTGTTTCATCGACCCACTCACCCCATAAAGCTGCTTCACCACCTAATACTAATTTTTTTTGTGCTTCACTGCCGTCAAATTCCTGCAAATATACTGGATTAAAGGTTAACCATTATACTGAAAAGAAGCTAGATTTGCTATGTTCCCACCGATTGGCATTGGTCATGACTCAACCAATTATGAATTATTTATGGGCCTCATAAGTAAATGAAACTGGGAGAGATGCAACAACTGAAATAGGCGAAGTCGATTATTAGCAATCAATAGCTATTTAAAAAATGGAAAAGATTTTGCTTGAGGGGCTTTTTTCCTTTTGCAAGTTATTGCCGAATTTTCAACTTACCGCTGGATCACAATGGTAGAATATAATCCAATCCCGTAAGCTTGCTATATCATTTAAGTACCAACATGATGATAATATAGCAAATATTCCTGCATCTGTAATACGACGCATGTATTCCATTCTTTCGCGATATGTATTTCCTTGCCAAACTTGAATAATTGAGTTCATTAGTTGAGCACCAGATTCAAATATTTCCTAAAAATTACTGAGCCGATTGAATAGTTGATTGGTTCAGTACCAAATACAACCCATTATAGAGCATAAGAATATTATCATTACTGAAGATGGCAAAGACCTTTATTACCTGCCAATAAATATATCTCTTATTTCCGATCTCGTCTGTCAGCATTCTCAATTTATTTATGTACCATCCTTGCAGTTGAATCGTGCTGTTCAGAGAACTTAACTAAAATTAAAATCTGGAGTGATTTTTAATTTTCCAAAATATTTTCGCCTTTTTTGTCCAATCCATTGGCTCATTTTTAAGTAGTATTCGCTTACTTCCTCGTTCAGCACAGCTAGGAAAAGCTCACTTTCATAAAATCACTAATGTTTTTATTATTTTTCCAACATGGTTCGGACCAATAATAAGCTTCATCCCCACCAATATGTATAAATTCATCGGGAAAAATTTGATACACTTCCTGGAAATTAAATCATTTATTTTCATAAATTGCTATACTTTTATACTTTTATGAATTTATTCAAATATTTTTCTTATTCCAGTAGCATTCACCATTTCTGTTGGACTAGTTTGCCTATGATGAGCAATATTGCTACAGCATTGCTATAAGAACCATTCAGGTGTTAAAGATACCGCATTAAAGATACTTGGCTAATAAGAAGAGAATATAATTTCTCTTTTTTTTTCTTTCCCAATTTTTTGCTAATTATTTCAACATTCTAAATTTAGAATAATAATTATTGTGATATTAACGAGTTCTTTTCTATGCATGATGAATCGAGAATCAAGCTACAACCGCGAAAAAATAAATTTAGTGCTTCTTAGAAAACTGGAGTTTAGATTGGGAAGAAGATAATTCGTTAATTTATTTATGCTTTTTTTAGCGTGATTCTTATAATTACCCGGAAAAGTGTTTCGAGGAAATCCCACGTCTCGTCCTTAGTTGGATCGAGAATACTACTCTTGAATGAATCGATAATAAATCCTTCTGCATAACATTTCGCCAAAATATTCGGATAACCTTTGCCCCACGATCCAACATGGGCTGGTGAATCGAACTCCGGAATAACTCTTATACCTCGTAAACGAGCATATGCTATGACATCCTGAATATTCTGTTTCTGTTAATTATAGTTTCAGTATTTGTTGCTATAATATTTAATGAGCTTTGGCAAGTTCAACCTCAAAAATTTGCTCAAAAAGTGAAAGGCGACCGTAATTTCCTCGATTGTATATTTATGTTTATCGTCATATGCTCCGTGATCCAATTTGGGCAGAACTCTCGAGGAATATGGGCAAGATTCAGTGTCGGTCATGTGCCAGTGAAATACATTAAATTTATTTTGTGCCATTAAATCGATATTCCCCTTCAGGGCATTTACGGACAGAAAGTGTCTGAAAATATAAAATACACTCATAGACTCGCCTTTTCGTCAGCTTAAAGTAATCCTTTACTGGAATTCACTATTTTTACAAAAAGGCCAACCTGGATGTGTCCAATAAAACACCGCGATGCGGAAATCGTGGGAAATCTTTGACAATCTCGGCACGAATTTGATAGCCACTCGTTTTATTATAGTATACCATATGCGAGAATGATTCCAATCCTCGAAGAGCTCCCCAAACCTTCAAAGTAAATTTTAAATATTATCAATTATCATTTATCTAATTTTGAATTTTCCATTTTTTCAAATTTCCTTCCTTAATGAAACAAAATGTTCCTCAAATTATTCCTGAATTTTTCCAAAGAATCAGAGCTTTTGCCGATGTGAATATAGGAATAACAGAATATAATAGAATATAGGCAAATTGGTGGTCTATCATCAGTTCGTCAAATTGCTAAGCGAATGGAGATAGGATGGCTTATTGGGTTGTTGCTCAACTCGAAGAGCGGATATTAAGGTTCCATTCCCAGCAGGAGTAAACCTGTCCGAAAAAATTCGATCCGAGTTATGCTGGCGATTCACCTGTGTTTCTATCGCCGAGGAACTCTCTGGTACTCTCTATTTGATCAATGAGACGTTTAACCAGTGATGGTGAAAATTTTTGAAAAAAAATAAAAATAAGGCAAATTCATCGGCTGGTTACTTAGTAATAAACAGTTCATAATGCAGGATTTCTTGCCAATCGAATAATATTTTTCGGACTTCGAAGTTCAGGTGATTAGTAATGGCTCATTTTGTTGAACTTAGAGACTTTTTCGATTTGTTATAAGCGATTTTTATAAGCGATATCAATTTTAATAATAACTTTGCTTATTTCTGCACGCTACTATTTATGCCACTTTTCTTGTCGCTGTTCTTAATTAGTGCCTAGTGCTTAAGTGATTGATTAGCATTATAAAGTAAGGATCTGATAATTCCTGATTAAAGAAGTTTTATCAATTTTTTATTAATGATAATTTTAGGGAAAACGATGGATGGATATCGATTTCTTCTAGTACTTACTCAGAAGCTCCAAAATAAGAACTTTTCGATACCAAAACGGGCAAAGTACCACAAATATCATATGCAGTCTTATAAGAGTAAAATTGCTTATGATGAAGTTTTCCTGAAATATACTAAAAAAGACTATAGAAGTGAATCGAACTTCATTGGCTGATAATATCGCTTTCTTTTGTGTCACATCTAATTCATAGCTTTCGTCCATATTATATGGCGGAAAACCAGAGGGACAAGCAATTAAAATATTGATATGTAAAGCACCAAGTTGATCCTGAAAAAATCTCGTCGAAATTTAATACTTATTAGTTTTAACTTGATATTCATTACTTTTATTTTTATTTCTAAGCTTTAAATATATGTTAGCAAAATCCAGAAAACTTGGCATAATCTGACTTTTGGAATCCCTTTTGAAATCCAGTCAAGATTTTTTGCTCTCCCTAAAATCTTTTCGAATCTTTTGTCACACTTGTCAAATCTTTTTTTTCTCTTGACATTCCTGCTTCCACCCATTTATCTCTCATTTGTCTCTTTGACCTTATAATTTGTAGTTGGAAAAAAGTGCACTAACTTAAGGAACATATTGAAGATAAGTGGATGTTAATGGTTAATGAGCTATAAGGAGATTAGAGGATAAGTGTGAAAATGAGTTTATAAATGGATTATGGCAGATATGCAACTTTTGGAACTAAAGGATCAAAGAAAAATAATTTCAATTTCAAATAATTTCATAATTTTTTCCGAACAGATTCACACATCTATACTGTCTGTAATATTTATAAAGACTTACATAATTAATAATTAATTACCATAAATGAGCTAACTATTGGCTGTTGGCTGACCTTTAAAGATCCAAGTTGTATCAAATACCTTAGCTGCACCAAGTGCATTTTGCGGATTTTGCTTCAATTTGCTGATTTTTAATCCTTTGTTTCAAAATTTTCACAAATTTTTATTATAAATTTATTTTATTCTAACTGATTAAGCTAAGTGATCATTAAAAAATAGAAATTCACTTTGAAAAAATTTTGAAAACTTTTATTAGATATAGGGAAAAGCCGTTTAGTGTAACGATCAATAGCATTAGTGATAATATCGCATTGATAATCAGATTCTATCTTGAAATTTTTAGGATCTATCGACCAAATTTTCGAGGAATTCTGGATATTTTGAGGCAATGGCCAAATAGCACCATAAGTCTTCTTATAAGGATCGGGCCATTGTCCATGTACATTCATCAGCAATAATAAAAGATACTTAGCAAATGCAATAAGCTTCATCTAAAGATTTTGTCTTTGAATAAGGTAATTTTGCTTGAAATTCAATCGTCCTAAATATTCAATATTCAAAAGAATAATTGTGAAATAAAGGATTAAGTAAAAAAGAAATTTCTGAAAAAATAACAGAAGTCGTAAAAAATTCGAAAATTTATCGGTGAAATGACCTGAAATTATTTAAATAAAAGATAAATATTTAAGTATAATTAAATAAAATTTTATATTTTCTAAAATTTAACCACATTCTTTTATAATTATTATAGAAGTTTTGACAAAACTTCAACAATATGGGAATTAAATAATCGAAAATTAAAATTACGCATATGCTTGGAGAAATTGTAGAAAATTATAAGAGTTTCTAGGATTTCCGAATTCCAAAAAGCCAAAAAGTTTCAAATTAATCTAAATCATTAATACTGAAACTCGTTAACGACGAAAGTCGATTGAATGAAATGCAAAAAAAATGATTTAAAATTTTTTTACACCTAAAAAAATTATTTGTCGATATCATTCATTGCCTTTGAATAAATGAAAAGTGAATGAAAAGTGAAAAGTTCGGCGAGAATTTATCGGCAGTTTGGAAAAAATATATTTTTATATATTTATATATTTTATAATGATAATAACAATAATAATATCACCATATCAATAGGGATGATATAAGCTTTGGTACTACTTGCAATAACATTTTCACTCTTATCTTGGCTCGGAATCATCTATGATGCTCGCCAAAAAACATATCCGATTTTTGCGATTGTAGCAAGAATAATAAAATTTAAAAATGAACAAAAATTGCGATTAGTGGTAATTTTGCTTATTTCAAAAATTCAGCATTGCACTGAACTGGCCTAGTCAAGCACATCGACCTATTTTCTTCCAACATTTTTGATGCATATCTGTGATACCTCAAAGCCCTTGGAAGCGAAAGATGATCTCCGTCTTTTTTATCATTAACCAGCAGAAAATTTCCATTGGAATGCAGGTAAAGAATCATAGGAATATTAGTGGTTATAAACTTCACATTTTCATATTAATATGCATATTAATTTTCTGTGGTACTCCCATGCATTTTTCAGGATTTGATCAGAAGAACAAGTATAATAGAGAAATATAAATATAAGAGGGCCATGATTTCGTTCTGTAATTTTTCAACAAAATTTCTTCCTTCTTCTAACAGCTCTCACCATTAGTGGTTAGATTAGTGGCCGGTTACAAGGGTAAGGGTTACATCTTCAAGTTCGACGTCATCTTTAGTAGTAATAGAAGCCATTAGTTTTTCGATCGTCTAAGTCCATATATTGCTGGTCCATTTATACATTCAAAATCTTTTCTGACTGTATCAGTCCAGGTATTCATTGGACTCCTTGCTCTTGGCGCCAGTCATCATAGGATTCGGCAAGTAACGAAATATGCGTCAAATCCTATGGTGGATGACTTGGCCTACCCAGTGAAAGCAACGCTCTGTGATAAAATTGTTAATACGGGTGGTATTTTCCGGGTGATGCTGGTGACTCACCTGTATTTCTATCGCCAAGCTACTCCCTGGCATATTACCCAATTGCGACAAGCCAGTGGAGCAAGTTTAACCAGTAATGGTGAGGGCTCTTAAAAAAAAAAAGCAACAGGTGGTATTTGAAGAATGGATACAATTATAATCATGTGTGATTTTATCCGCTCGATGGAACCACTCATACAATGTATGAGTGGTTGAAGGCTGATAGTTTCTCTCTTCTCTCTTTTTAAAATCTTCCACTCTTATCCCAGTGATATAGTAAGATCGAGCGAATTGCAGCTATATGGATTGCTTCTTCAATATCACGGGACTTCTTTACTCAACCTTATTACTTCTGAAAAACCGTAAGAAAACCAATTTTACTAACTCTATTAATGTAATTCTACTAATGACCTTATTACTGTCCCCGCGATTCTAAATATATTTTAAACATCGGAGATTAATTTTTCAAAAATAATATAATTTTTCACTGAAATGCTATTCAAATTCAAGAGTTTATGATCTCAGATATGCAAATTTCTGAAAAACTTCTACGAATAATATGCAATTTTTACTATTACGAAGGGAAAGGTAACTTTGGAGATTTCCAAGTTTGTCCGCCGCATGTGTAATTTAATTTCGATGTATCGGACAGGATTCGATCTCATTTTGCTTCACTAGCATTTCTTGGTTTTTTTCGCAATTCTTCGTTTTAGTTCAGAAAACTTTGAAGATGATAGTTCATATAATTTAATTTTAAGAATTTAAATATATTAAAAAAAGCGAGAAAATTTTTCAAATTTAATTTATGCTTCAGGTAGAGAGAATTATTTCTAGAAAAACTTTACGAAAACTTAAAATTTTCTAAAAAACAAATTCTATAAATTTACAAAAATGAATAATGCTTTGCTTAAATTAATAAATTTCTCATAATACATGGCAATAACTGATTTTATAATAATTATGTGAAATGCCCTACGTTGTGTACTGTCACATTTTTTTTTTTTAAGAACGCAAAATATGTATGTTCATTTGATTAATATTCAGCATTTCACGTCAAAAATCCTCATGGAAAATCTTTTCGCATAAATTTTTATGAAAGAATAGAAAATTAAAAATATGGTTAATATGTATAAAAATAAGTGAAAAGCTAAAAAACTTAATCCTTTATTCTTCAATTTCAATTTAAACAAATTTATTCGATTTTTTAAAAATTATTTATTATATATTTGCAATTAAAATTAAGATTTTATCCCGTTTGATTTAATGTATTTATCTTCTCCAAGCAATAAGCACGTATGAGAGCTGATTAGATTGGCGAAATTGCATTATCAGTTTCATTATCACTAATAGTTGAAGGATCTTATAACAGTTTTGTAAACGACGCAGACGGTTTAACTGTGGTTTATTCAGCATTTCTGGTTGCGCTGGCTCCATTGGTTGTTAGTAGGACGATTTCTATAAAATACATATTTTAAGCATCGAATGGGTGGCAAATAAGTCAATTTTCATCGAAGTTTTATAAAATTTAGCATATTTTTTAGATTTCCTTTATCATAAGATGTTTTTTAACGAAAAATTAAAAAAGAATATAAATAAGAATATAAATAAATATAAATATAAATAAGAATATAAATATAAATAAGATCATAAAAAGGATCGCAAATTGCTATTCATACAAGCTAATTTACATAAAATTCTCAGAAAAAAATGAGAATGATAATGAGAATTTCATAAAAGTAAAAAAAGTTAAATCAATGGTAATTGCACTAATGAAGAAAATAAATTGCAAATGGAATAGAAATAGCGAAGAAATGGGAAAAAGAAAACTCACCATTATTGGTTTGGTTCGCTTCATTGGAAATTGTTGAGAGCCACCTGAGGTGTCCGCAACATTGCCAGAATTTGATTTTAAATAACCTCGGCCATCCCAAAGATGGCTCAAAGATTCGCTCAAAGATGGCTTATCGTTAATCGATGCACATTATAAGGTGATCCATCATAAGGTGAAATTGGACAATCCATAAGCCTTCCAGAAACTAAGAAAAACGGAAATTGCGTACGATTAATGTGAAATAATACGTTATAAAGTTAGGTTGCTTTTTTTAAAAAAAAGCATCGATCGAAGACTCATTTACTTTTTCTTAGCCATTTAATCGAAATATGGATATGGAAAATGTTAATCCGACATTTCGACTTATTCGCTTCTGTTTTCTGATTTCTCATCTGAATGGTTGGCAAATTTCGTTATAAAAGGCAGTCAGTCTTGCCACCTTAGTGAAGTGTGATTACGACTTATTATATTGGTCGCCACAGAAATTGTCGCAGATCGTCGTCAATGCATTTCCAACTATACTCTTATCGATAATCAACATATACGAATGGCACAAAACGATACAATTATTTCTTAGAGGCAGTTGATAACTCTGCTTTCGAGCAAAAAACGATCGCATGAAGCATGAAAAGAATTCCCTAGTCGATTTTTTTCAATGCTGAAATATTTTTTTCGCTTTATTTTTCAAATTTTTCATTAGCTATTAGAATTTTTATATAAGAATGCGGATGAAATTCTTCTCTATCTTTGTTTTTACTTTTATTTTCATTTCACGTTTCCGATGCGTTTTTTAAACCTCTTTCAAAATAAATAGTTTTTTCAGAAATTTTTAAATTTATATTTATTTAAATTTATTTTTAAATTAAATTTATTTTAACTAAATATAAGTTATAAATTTAAATTTATGAATTTAAATTAATTTAAAAGTTATAAAAAAATTATAAATTTAAATATTTTACTAATTAATTTACTTGTTACACGTTCATTCGCCTAAATTTTCATAACTACTAATAAATCAAACTTAAAATCAAAGCAAAATTATAAATATTAATGATTTTTAAAATTACTTTCGTATGATAAAAATATTTTCAATGAATGAATTTTCGAAGAAAACACTCAAAAAATTAAATTCTCAATTATTTTGCACAATAAATAATAAATATAAATATAAATATAATAAAATAAATAAATAACAAAATATAAAATTTATTCAAATGGAACTGTGAAAGAAATAAAATTGGAGGAATTCTAATAATGAAAATTGTTGAAAAGTAAAGTATAAAATTTTTTATTTTTAATTAAAAAATTTATGACAATATAATTTAATTTAATTTAAAAATTATTATATATGAAATAGTTTTTTATTCTCACTTTTCAATAGTTTCAAATTAAGTAAAATTGAATAAAAAACTATAATCAATTTATAAAAAGTTTAATACACAGAAAATTTGGCTTTTCCATCTCAAGCAAAGCTTGGAGCTCGAAAGTTTATTAACACAACAACTGTAAAACCTCCAATCGAATTTTTACATTAACAATGTAAAAAATTTCGCTAGCGGTGAAGCATACAATTCAAAACTATCAAAAAATCTTAACAAATCTTAAAATCGCGAAAACAAAATAATTGGAAAATGT